AGTTTGCAGGATTTTTGCTTTCCCTGTGTCTGAGCTGTTTTCCCAAAGGCTCTGTTCTCTGAAATGCTCCGAGTCCTCTTTCCTGTCACAAGCAGGGTCACCTCACCCGCGTCTCGCAGGTTCTTGATGACTCTTCCTCTGGTCCTGATGCCTTAGTCTTCCTGTAGTCCCGTTCTCGTGGGATTTGCTCAGCACACAGATAGCATTTTCCTGATTTTAACCCACACAGCAGCTCCTTGTTCTATGTGAACTGCTGCCTGCAGGTCGATGGACCTGCTCCTCCGGAGCACAATACGTTTTCGGGGATTCCCGGTCTTTACAATGTGAGTCACTAATTTATTATGATCCACACAGTCCAATGTCTTTGCAGAATCAGGGAAACAAGCTGTGGTTGTTGCATAGTGTCATGTCAACCTGATAGGTCTAGGGGTGGAGTCTAGCCTGTGAATCAGGTCACAGCCTGATGATACCTACTTGTCGGTTTGGCCTTCTCATGAGGATTCTGGGAACGTCCTCTCTTTCAACCTGGAGGTGAGCCACAGTCTCTCTCTCTGCTTCACTTTTCTGCTGTTGAGACCCTCAGAGAGCTAGAGGAGCCACGTGGAGGCCCACGCCAGTGCTGAGATGCTTCCACTGACACTGGGTCCATAAGACTTTCCACTCACTGGCCTGTGATCTTCCTGCATTTGGCATCATTACATGTGCTGTCTGTGTCTGAAGAGGAATTTTTGGACTAGTATGGGATGTACAGGTTATGGTCTTGATCTGGACTTATGGTCTTGATCTGGACTTATGGTCTTGATCTGGACTGGGCTGTGATGTTTTCTTTTTTGTAATCATTGTATTAGGGGCTCATACAACTCTTATCACCATCCTTCCATCCATCCATCCATCCATCCATCCATCCATCCATCCATCCATTGTATCAAGCACATTTGTACATTTATTGCCACCATCATTCTCAAAACATTCGCTCTCTGTGATTTTTTTTAATATACAATTACTCTTTGATATCAAGCTCTCTCTTACACACCTACACAAGGATCCTGGATTTCTCTAGTCATTCCGGACTAACACACATGTAAACATCCTGTGGCAGTCTCTGCTTTCAGCTGAGATCCATCTGGCACCAGCAATGAGAGCCCTTTGTTCCCCACCCTCTTCTGAGCCTGTCTGACATTTCTGGCAGTTCCCTCTTGAAGCACTGCTGTAGCTCTTTTGCCTTCAGCACCATTGCGTGTGAGATTAATGGCATTATTTGACAGTTCCGGCCTGCAGTTGGACTACCTTTCTTTCAATTGGTACATTTGTAGATCTTTTCCAGTCGCTTGCCAAGGAGCTGTATCCCCAACTCCTTGGCATAGACTAGTGAGTGCCTCCAGCATTACGCCCCTTTGTGGAAACGTTTCGATTGGCACCCTATCGGTTCTCAGAAGCATGGTTTCCGTGATTGTCTTGGGTGCGTAGGGTGTTGTTAGGTGCCATTAAGTATTCCGACTCCTGTTGTTGGGTACCACAGAACCAGTTCCAGCTCCCAGGGACCCTGTGCACAACTGAACGGAGCACCGCCCAGTGCTGTGCCGTCCACACAGTTGTTCTTAGGGTTGAGCCCAGTGTTGCCGCCGCTGTGTCCGTCCATCTCAGCTAGCTTGCTCACTGCCCTTCCACTGGACTAAGCATGAGCTCAGTACATTATGCGGGATACTAATTCTTAAATGATTCATGGGTTTTTGTTGTAGCTGCTCTTGCTGATGAAAACCTTAATCATTTAGTCAACTAACTGTCTATCATGATCCCACTTGAGATTGCTGTCAACTTTGACTCATGATGACCCTGTGGGTGCCAGGTTAAAACTGCTTCATAGCACTTTCAGTGGCTAATTTTTCAGCAGTAGATCACCAGGACTTTTCTTCCAAGGTGCCTCTGGGTGGACGAAACCCTCCATCCTTTGGGTGAGCAGCCAAGTGCATTGACTCCTCCCACCACCCAGGGACTCTGGGATTTGTCTGACACACCCCTTCCAGCAGACTGGCTGTAGATCCCTTCCATCCCTGCAGTAAGACAGCATGCACTGCAGTGTTCACATCTGCACTGAGGGGTGAGGAAACATTCAGAGAGGTTCCAGGAATTACCTAAGCACCCCTGGTGCCATTGGGCTACTACTAGCAGCGGTTCGAGACCACCAGCCCCTCCACTAGAGAAAGGTGACTTTCTACTCTCATCAGGGGCTACAGGCTCAGAGACCCACGCAGGCAGTTCTAGCCCACCCTATACGGTCACGCTGCATCAGAACTGACACAGTGGCAGGACGTTTGATTTTGGTGTTTTGGTGTTTTGTTTTGGGGGGCTTCTTTCTCACTTGTTTGATTTGGTTTTTAAGAAGTGACCATGGGTTTTCTTAGACCTCTTGGCCCACACCAGTCATCAGACTGTGGGTTAGAGTTCCTGGTCCTTGGCATGGCCAGGGAGGGGGCAGCCCAGCCCAAGACTGGATAGCCTGTTTGCACCAGGATCCGAAGTCAAGCTGGTCTGGGGACTCAGACCCACCCCACCCCAACCACGTGTGGGTTCTTTCTTGCTCAGAAGATCTCCAGACATCTTAGTAACTTCGATTTCTTGAAACAAGGCATAGCACAGGATAGGATGTTAGATTGAGCCCAGGGTTCATACAGCAAGCACTTCAGTGCCCCTCAGCATAGTCTGCTGGCCAGTGAGATCTAATATGGGGGGATGAGGAGACCCTGCACACTGCTCACCTGAGTGCATCAGCACCAGAACCCCTCTTATCATCTTTCGTAACCATAGCACCGGGGGACTTATGGGCTGTTGGGCTGGAAAGGTAGAAATATCCATTGAGCACACAGCACCAGAATTGGAGGAAGACTGCTTACCAACATGACACAGCCTTGCTTGCTGAGAGGGAAGAGGATTTGGAACACATACGGACAAAGATGAGTGTGGGTTTATACCTCAACCTAAAGAGGGGAATGTGCTCCAAGCAGTAAGCAATACCATGCTAAATGGAGAAAAGATTAATGTGGCCAAAGATGTCATTTTCCTTGGGTCCATGGATGCAGCAGTCAAGATCAAATGGCATAGTACACTGGCCAACTCTGCTGCAAAATAAAAACTCTTTTCAAGAGTCCCGTTAATCATTGGACTGCTAACAACAGGGTGGGGGTTCATACCCACCAGCTTCAATGGGAGAAAATGAGGCTGTAAGGAAAGAAACACCTGCTCCAGTAGAGAGGTGCCTTCGCTGAAATCCCCAGGAGGCATTTCCTCTCCCCCTTAGGGGATCTATGAGTCCATCGATTTAATCATGGTGGGGGGGATGGGAATATACTGGTGACTAAGAAGTGGTCCTTGTCCAATGGATTTTTGTTGCTTTCGGGTCCTGGAGAGCCCACTTTTTATATTTTTCTCCAGGCAAAAGTCAGTTGATGTGTGCAAAAACTAACAGGCTATCCCATGCGTGCCAAGGCGTCTCTCTCAATCCTCTCGGCCATTCCATTGAGTCTTTTGTCTGTGCCTGTGCCAATGTCACATGGACTCATCAGTATGATTTTGTGGTGTGATTGCTACCTGGTGGAGCAAGTTCCCAATCTTTGTTTTTATTTCCTTATTTTCTTTTCCAAATTATATTAACTATTTGTGCCATCTCTCATCCTTATCAAGACAACCAAAAGCGCTGTTGGGGTTTTATTGGAATTGCTTTGAACTAATAGGTGGGAGTTAAGAGACTTGGTAGCTGCAGGGTGTAAGTCTCCTCATCCATGAACATAGTAGTTCTCTCCACTAACTTATGTCCTCTTGTGCTCTTCATTAGCAGGTCATAATTCCCTCCACTAACACTTGTAGCCTTTTTTATTGAAAAATAATTGATTCTGAATTAGGTTGGGGGGTGATGGGGAGGTGGTTTATATTTCAGACCATCAACTCAACAATCAACAGTTCAAACGACTCATCAACCTCTTTCTGATGGTTAAGGTTTAGACCACGGAATACCTCTACAGTAATAAAAGATAGAATTTTATTTTATTTTTCAAAGCAGTTTAGGGCTCTCTACCGGTTGAGGCTGGAGATTACTAGCTTTTATATTTTCTATTGCATAACTAACTCTTTCTGTCTCTAACAAAAGTAACATAAAACACCAGTATGTCCCTTGCTAGCAATGTCCTTGAGGCCTGTCACAAGAGACTTCTGCCCCTCGCTTAGCACCTGGCCCATCAGCATTTATTTCAGCAATTGTTCACTCAGCAGTGAATCCACTAACCGCATCATCTCTGTCTACCTGAATAAAACTATGAAAGGTTTTGCCAAATCATTTGCTTAAGATGCACTTCTTCTATCAGTGGCCTATTCCTTTCCTTATAAGTGATTCTTGTTTCTCAAGGTCACCTTGAGAGTCTGCTAGCCAGCTCGACCCAGATGTCCACCACACACGATGGAGAGCACCTTTGCCTTCCTTTGTCTGTCTGTAGGTGACCCTCTCACCTTCCCCACTCTCCGTGATTTCTCATCGCTGAATTTCCCAGTAAAGTCTTCAATCAATCACGTCAGCATTTCTATGAATGAGTCTCAGCTCTCATTGATTGAAGATATTCTTCAACACGGATACTTTCTCTATCTTATAACTAGTAGTCCGATCCACTTAAGAGCCAGCATTGTATGTTTAAATGGGAGGCTCACATTCTACGTTAAAAGACCACTAAAAATAGTGTGGACTGTACACAATGGATCAATCTGAATCACCGTCCAAACAGCCTCTAACCTGGCTGACCGTTCAAAGAGTCTTACTTGCTTGCTGACCTCTGAGCTGAAATGCTCGGTCCTTTCTTGGTTGACGGAGAAAAGAGGTTTTCCTCGGAATTCCATGGTTGCCAAGGAGGTAAATATCTGGAAGGGAATTTCCAACAATTGTAGGGGGGAAATCTCACTGAGGTTTGCGTGTAACTGGATTAGAGTGAACACTATCCTTGCCATTTGTGTTTCTTCAGCTCCCGATTGCGGAAAAAATCCGAACCATTGCCCAGGCTGTCTACGGAGCCAAAGATATAGAGCTCTCACCCGAGGCTGAATCCAAAATAGACCGTTACACTCAACAGGTAAGAATTGTACCTTTCAGGGAAAATCCAATTCAGGTTCTTAAAATATTCTTCTTGACTTGAGGACGTCTAGGTTTCTCTCAGCGGAATTTGGCTTAATCTACTTGCTGATCAGCAAGGACAGAAGTCAGACCCTTGGCGTGCCAGCTGTATTAAAACACTGTAGTGAGGGTATATGCCCTCGGATGTAGACACCGCGGAGTTTTATGATTATGATCGTAAAATGTGTCTAATACAACGGTACCCGTACCTTTTAAGTGCCGCTAACAGAGGATGTTCAAGCAAGTTTATCTGTAGACATGTGGTTAGCTATAAACATCCAACGTGTCTGCTGGTGTGCAGCGAGGGAGTCAGATTTAAATGGTTTGCGGTGTCTCCATGGCAAGCCTCTGCCAAGCCCACTGCCATCAAGCAGATGCGATTCGTAGCCCCCTTATAGGACACAGTTGAACGGCCCCCTGTGTGTTTCTGAGACTGTAACTCTATGCGGGAGTAGAAAGCCCTGTCTTTGTCGTGCAGAGCAGTTGGTGGTTTCGAACTGCTGACCTTGCATTTAGCAGCCCGATGTGTAACCACTACACCACCAGGGCTCCTACAAGTCTTAGGTTAGCATGGCCCCTGGTTAGGCAAATAGGAGAGCAGCACATGGAGAGGAAATGTCAGACAGTCTTTCCATACGAGTGGAGTCTCGGCTTGTTATTTATTGGGACAGCTCACCGAGGCTGAAGGCTTCACCACATTTTACCTAGAGAGAGTTAGCTAGCGTGAGTCTCCGCTTGTCCAGGAGAGGTCCCTTGGTGACGCTATCACATCGCAGCCTGTAAAGCCGCTCCTCCAAAGGACTACTTGCCTCAATGGTTCGGCAGAAGTCAAGGCACCTCCAAGAGGTTCATAATGAACATCACGGATTTTTTAATTTAAATTCCTTCACTCTTGTATTCTATTTTAACCATCATAATAGGACACTTTGCTAAATATTACCAATGCCGATCGGGGTATTTTCCTAGGCCTGGATACCAAAAAAACCAAGCTCGCTGCCATCAAGTAGATGTGGACTCAGAGTGACCCTACAGGACAGGGTAGAACTGCCCCTATGGATTTCTGAGGCTGTCACTGCCCCTCATAGTGGCTGGTGGGTTTTGATCTGCTGATCTTGCAGGTAGCAGCCCAACGCATAGCCTTTTAGTCTTTCCTACATGTGTTTCCAGCCTGTCCTTTAAGACAAAGATTCCCCAGTACTGCTCTGCACACTGGTCTTGTTCTCTGCTGGTGAGCTTTCGCCGGTAGGCAGTGAGAGGAGCAAACCAAGATCAGAGTTTTCCTGAAGCTGATATTATAGCTCCCCTTTATCCTGGTTTTAAGCCCTTCCTCCCTCCCTCCCCCCCCCCCTTTTTTTTTCTTCTGTTTTCAAGGGTGTTTAGGTTAGGGTCTAGGGCATACCAATTGGTTTATTCCTAACCCTATTGGAGCCAATCTTAAATTAACAAACCTACGTCAGCTCACAGGAATTCTCTCAATTCCAGAGTTCTGGGTCTCGTTTCTGTAAAGCAATTGCAAGCGTCCTGTCAGAGCTTGTACTCCGCCCACAGGAGGGGGCTTCCAAGGAGGGGAGGGAGCCCCACTTCCCCATTGATAACCCTCTAAAATCTCCCAAATAGTTTAAAGTTGAATCACCAAAAATCCCATGTGCACTGCCACGGAAGGTTCTCTTCCTCTCACCTCTGTCTGTGCAGGGTGGGAGCAATCCTGAAAAGCTATGTGTCAGGGTGCGGTGGGAACTCACTAGCACAGAGTGTGTCAGGCGCCACGATGTGCCCTCTCATCAGGCACAGGCTTCGGGGACACTGCTCTTTTTGTGAGATGCCACACGTGACTTCTGCCCTTTCACCTTTGGCACTCCGGGTCAATCATAGCCTTTAGTCCTTAAGAAGAAGAGGCTTCCACAGTGACCTCATCGTAGGCTCTATAATGTAATCGCAGATCAAGTGGCCACGATTCATCAAGGAGTACAAAGGGCCCCTTTGCTTCTTGGCAGACTGAAACCTCGCCAGCCACGGGGCTCTGCACAGCGCCTTCTCCACATTACCTTGCTGTGCCTTGGATATTAATAGCCTCCCAAAGTGGTTTCTGCAGCCGCCCCCCACCCCCCACCCCCATGCACACATCACACAGCCTTCTCGTAAGGAGAAGCTCCAGAGCAAACAATAGGGCACCCTCAGCCTGCCCGGTAAGAGTGCCAAGAGAGCATTTGCCCCCATCCTCCGGCTCAGTGCGCAGGCCGGGGCAAGCACCTACTGTGTGCCTGGGTCTGGCCAAACTCGCTGCCCTTGGTTGCATTCTGACTTAGACCCACCCTATAAGGCAGAGGAGAATGGCCCCTGGGGGACAGAAAAAAACAACTCACTGCCCTCGAGTCCATTCTGACTCCCGGCCACCCCTGGAGACAGAGTAGAATTGCCCCTGCGAGTTGCGGAGACTGTTAACTCTTTACCGGAGTCGAAAGCCCCGTAATAGCCTTTTTCTCAAGGAGCCAATTTTGCACGGATGGCAGCCCACCCAGTAACCTCCGCGCCACCAGGGCTTCTTGAGGGGGAGAGATGCTATGCGATACCATTTCAGCAAGTACGGGAGGCTTAACCACTTATGCTCTGCACATCTCTTTGCTTCCTTCCTTCCCCGCAGGGTTTTGGGAATCTGCCCATCTGCATGGCAAAGACCCACCTGTCTCTGTCTCACGAGCCTGACAAGAAGGGTGTGCCCAGGGGCTTCATCTTGCCCATCAGCGATGTCCGGGCCAGCATCGGCGCTGGGTTCATCTACCCTCTGGTCGGAACGGTGAGTGGGTAGCAGTATTCTCCGGTGGCTTCTCTATTCTCGGTTCTCACGATGGCGGCCTCATATCTTTGCTCCCCACATTCTGGGGGGCTCGTGCAATAGTATCTGCTGTCTTTCTAAATATCCCTTCCCTCCCACAACAGCTGGAGCATTGTGGTGTGGGTGTACACTGCTTGTTGGATCGTGTGTCTGGGGTCTGTAGAGTCCTGAGATGGATTCCCCTCCAAGGACGCTTGGGACGCTGCAGTCTGTCGTTCAGATGCTGCAGTCTGTCGTTCAGATGCTGCAGTGGCTCTGCCCCGTGTTGCCCCACCTTCCTCATCTGGAGGGCGCAAGGGTGCCCAGCACAGGGAGGGGACTGGAGGTGGCTGCCATGGGCAGATGGGACACCTCTGCCCCTCTTTGTCAGCAGAGTGCTGGGCTGGGAAGTCCGCTGAGTTCCTGAGCAAATCGCAGGCGCCCTTGTTTTTGACATTGCTGTGACAGGCCTCTATTGCTGTAGAGCATTAGCGTGGTTTCACATGATTGGGGAGGGAAGGAGGACATACAGAGATGTGAACATGTCTCAGCCCGTGTCTTGTTTCACACACCTCGCCGGGGCCACCAGAAATGACCTCAAGTTGACTGCTTGTCATGATTGTTGGCCTTGGCTAGGTTTGGGGGACACACACACACTCCCATGCTCCAAATTATTCATTATAAAAAATTATGAATAGTAGTGATGATCGATTGCAAGTTGACGCAAGGCCCCGCAGAGGAAAACATAACAGTATTGTGCGGCTGAATTCGTATGCACATGAGCACACCAAGTGGAGTGGGGCGTACATTTTGGCTTCTTCAGAGCTCGTGCCTGCGGTGGGCTCTCAGTCCATCTAATGTGGAACAGACTGGTTTTAAGAAGCGTTGTTAGACGGTCCCAATTGCCTGTGAGGCATCGGGATAACCAAGCAGCAGCCCAGGCACCCTGAGGCCTTTGGAGAGAGAGCCCTGTGCTGGTGTCCAGCCGTGCTCACGGACAGCTGGTCCTGTTGGGGAAGAGAGCCTCCTCACTAAAGCACGTCCTCCAACTGGGGTAGCAGAGCGCGCTCCTTTTGAGAGTCACAGAAGGATGTGATGTCCTTTCTCAGTGTGGTCCAGCGTGGTTGGATGCGGGCAGGAGGGCTGACGAACAAGACTGGGCCACATGATTAAGGATCTCAAATGTTATCTGAAGGATCTTGGGTTTTATCCTGCAAACAGTGGGGAGTTGTGATAGGGCATTTGGTTTTTTTGTTTGTTCGTTATGTTTTTATAAGAAGGAGAAGATTGTGATCTGATGCATCCTGTAGAAATAGAACTCTCATAGTAACGTGGAGAATGCCCAAAGTCAGAGAGGCAGACACCTGGAGACCAGTTAGGTGGCCCTTGGAGGTGAGGTCAGCCAAAAAGATGGACCTGGGGCCACAGAAAGAGATCTGGGTTTGAGCTGGGGGTGGGGGGGAGTGGCTTACTGGATGGTGGGGAGTCTTGATGCCATCCCTCTTGTGAAGGACACAGAGGGAGGCCAATGGGCTGACCCAAAAACGAGTGACTTAAACCTAGAGAACGTGAAGGGTTAACAGGCTTTGTGAAAGAGCCTTTGAATCCATGAGAAATTCAGCCCCAAAGGTGTCTGAAAGCAACAGGAGGGAAGGAGACCTTGGGAATTCTGGGAGTCTACGTTCCCTGAGAGCCGAGGACATAAGTCCCAGAAGCTAAGAAACACCTGGGTACCAGAACCATCCGAGGGTTCTGATGGATAGCGAGTGGCCAGAAGGCAGGGGTCACACAGCAAGGGGAATAATACCCCAAGGGCAAGCTGGATGGTGGGATTTTCTGGTCAGGGAAGGAGTGTCAGGGGTCTTGATAGTATAGGGAGGACTCAAATATAATAGGTCCTAAGTGACATTTTGGAAAAGACAGAAGAAAAGAAAAGTATAGGTAAAGAATTCAGGTCGGCGAATGTCGGAAGTTAGGGCTTGCGGAGTGACTTGAGACTTTGTGGAGTGAAATATTCTGTATTGTGATTGTGATGATGGTTATATGACCCAATGTGTATGTACAGCCTTATCGAATGGGATACCTATAAAGGGGAATATCATTGTGTGTAAGTTAATTATTCCTCATTTAACAAAAACGTGTACTGAGAAGAGCTTGCCTCAGGATGTCCCCCGCTCTTGCCTACCCTGGAGGCAGTCGGTACGGGCCGTTTGCTTAGGAGGAGAGGTCCAGAAAGCCCAGCCTACCAGGAGGGGACAAAGGGCCCTCCAGACCCGCTCAGAATGAGAAAGTGGGAGAATTCTGGGGAGAATTTGGCCTTGTCCTCTCTGGCCTCTTCAGATTTCAAATCTGAGAATCATCCTATAATTCTGAATCTTTGTAGTCGTGGAACACATATTAAAGACCAACGCCCATCTGGAAAGTCTATTGCTGTTTGTCACCTTGGATGTGAGGTGCTGCAGCGCCCCTGTGAAGACATTGTCAGTCCCTCTTGGACTTGAGACTAGTTACCAAGAGAAGGCAGACTGTCTGGTTGAGGTTCCTGGTGGGAAGGGAGCCCCGTGGTCAGGGCGGCTTTCAGGCCTGGCAGCTGTGGTCCGTCCCCCTAGAAGGGGAAGTGTGTTACTACCCGTGGAGAGAGCTCTTCCAGCCCTTTAAAATGAATGACCGTGGGCGCCATGTTCCGGAGCCAGGCCTCCGCCTGTCGGTCTACCCAGCCGAGCGCCTCCTGTGGCCACAGGGGGCAGCCGTGAGCGCCCGCGCCCTGTAGGGAAACCTTCCAGAAACAATGGCGAGCGGGGGCGGGAGGAAGGAAGTCATTCCTGCCAGACTGGGAGGCGGTGGCCCTCCAGGTCGGCTCTCTGTGACGGAGCAGGAAGCTGCATGCGGATCCAGGCAGATGGCACCCGCTGAAGCCAGGCTCTACGAATAAGGGCTGCTATTTATTTTTACTTGACCTCATTCTAAGCCTGGCCCTGATCCGCGGAGCGGCTTCTCACATTCCTCAGCCGTGTGGTGGCCCCAGTGCTGTCATTTCCTGCCGGCATGACCGAGGCAAGGGGATGGGGAGACTGACTCAGGCAGGAGGGAACATTCTCGCATCATGAATCGCTTGGCCTCCTCCTTACTCCACCAGGGCTGTCTGGGTGCCTTTGAAATGCGTACTTCATTGCTAGTCGGGAAAGAAAAGCCACAGGGAGACCTTAAGATCAAAGAGATTCTTCCTTCTTCCGCAGTGCTCATTCAGCGAATGGTTATTAACTACCTGAAGGCGCCATCGGCCTTGTGGTGAGCAGCATGGTCCTCCCTGTCTTTCTGACAGGGGCTTATTGCCCATCATCAATAAAACCCACCTGCTGCTAAGGGCAAGGTCTCCAGTTCAGGACCCCCTAGCCAGTCTGGGACCGGGCTTTCTACGCCCAAAGAGTCACACTCTCTTAAACTCACAGGGGCAGTTCTACCCTGTCCTCCAGGCTCAATCTGCTCGGCATGGACTCGATGACCTTGAGTTTGGTTTGAGAGGACTGAGTGTGCTGTGGGCTTGGGTGCAGGTATGCCCTGCTCCCCTAGTGATCACCCTAGTTAGGTCTGATGGGGGGGGGATCCCACACAAAGAAACCTTGACCTTCACTGCTGCTTACTATGGAAGATCAGAGGGTAAAACACTAGAGACGCCATTTAGCCGTCTGTGTACTTACTCCTAGCCCCTGTGTGTGCAGACAGTTGGGCACCTGACTCCCAGGCACACAGAGCATCACCGAGAGTCGGGGCCAGCTTACTGGCACCGGCTTGGGTTTGCTATACTTTCACCCGACACCTTTGCAGTGGAAGAATTCTTTCTGTCCACGCCATTCTGCACCATGGAGTCGACTGGGCCCATGGCGACCCTATAGGAACAGGGTAGCACGGCCTCTGTTTTCGAGAGTAACTCTTTGCAGGAGACTCGGGTTCAATGCCCAGGCATGCACCTACTAGCCAGGCAGTCAGGGTAGGCGCACAGGTTCCTACGGCACAGCACGGAACAGGTTTCAGCAGTGCTTCCTGTCTACGGTAAATGAGGAAGAAAGGCCTGCAGATCTGCTTGCAAATTTCAATTCATAAAAACTGCATGCATTACCAAGGCAGGGGGACTCCACGTGAGCCGGGGGGCATCCTCCAAGACAGCTGAGCAATCTTATGCCCAAAGAAACATTACTTTTAGGTGTGTGGGGTTTTTATGTTTAAATGCCTCTGATTTTAGAGAAGGATTCAATCCTTTGACACACATTATAAAGTAAAATGTGAAAATGTATCCTTGGGAAGCAAATGATGTTGTATGCAGTTGGAAGAGAGCCAGCTAGCACGCGTGTGGCACCGTGGGCCGCTCCTTGCCCTCCTCGGCTTTCCCTGCACGGGTTAACATGTGACATGCTAGGCACTGAAGAAAATGGCCTAGACTCTTCTTATAAGAAGCACCCTCCCGAGGATGCTTTGTCCAGTTCTGTGTAATGTTTGCTAGCCCCAGACCAAGGGCTCAAAACCATGAGAACTTAATGGTGGGGATTGTGCAGAACGCGGGGCGGGCATAGGGCACAGGACATTGCATGGCCGGAGGTTCTGTGAGTCCCAAGGACCCAAGGACACTAACAACGGCCCCAGGCTGTGGTAAGGAAAGACAGGATCTCTTCCTTTCTCTATTTACTCAATCCCTGGGGATTCTTTTTTTTAATCATTTTATTAGGGGCTCATACAACTCATACAACAATCCATACATCCATCCATTGTGTGCAGCGCATTTGTACATTCATTGCCCTCATCATTCTCAAAACATTTCCTCTCCACTTAAGCCCCCGGCATTAGGGCCTCATTTCCCCCTCCCTCCCCGCTCCCCAGCCCTTGATAATTTATAAATTGTTATTTTGTCATTTCTTGTCCTGTCCGACGTCTCCCTTCACCCACTTTTCTGTTGTCCGTCCCCCAGGGAGGAGGTCACATATAGTTCC